TATCTCCTTATCCAACCTGGGAAGCTGATAAGCAGCCTTTATGGCTAAGGATCAGTGTAAGCAGTTCAATAAGAGGGGGATGTTAATTGCTCATCTTACATGGTCTAGAAATAAGCAGAGTTCAGTGCCTTTTTTAGCTGACATCGAGTTCAGAAAAGAGAAGCTTTCAATTTCCTTTCAAGTTGCTAATTAGCTCTATGAGAGAATGACAAAAATACAGACTTTCCCAAAGTTTATTTGCATTTTTCTACCTTGACATATTATGCAAATATTAAGTTGCCATTTGCATATGACAAGAATATCTGATCTTATTTTACTTCAAGTCCCTTCAAATGCTGATATAAAGTTAAAACATGAATCAATATATGTTCTATGTGGTTTATGGGCCGCATTGTCACTTTTTGACTGATATGTTTTGCATGTGAACTAGGCTTTGTACGTGGCCATCCAAGATACCTTTGCTGAAATGGCTTTGATATGAAATTTGAATGATGAATATACTCAGCATTATCAGCAAGCTGAAGCAGGTTGAAACTTTAGTTTTAAAAACAACTAAAAAAAGTCATTTTGAACTAAAGAGCAACAGTTTTTTGTTGGATTGTGGCATAACAGCTGCAAAATATTCACCGAAACAACAGTGAGAAGGCATCAGGGTGAGGTAAAATACTGTTAAAATTAACATTTTAAATTTCTGGGTCAAGGCAAGACATGTTTGCAATTAATTTGGCCTGATGATGTTGCATCTTGTTGCTGGGAGACCCTCAGAGGTTCTTTGTGGTGTGACAAGACCCTGGGGAAGAGCTGGACATCCCTCCCTGTGAGGAAGGTCGGGCTGGGAAAACCTCCCAGGATTGGGCCCCAAACACAAATGTCTCCTGAATCTCTGCAAACAATCCCACTTGAAATTATTGTGCAGCTTTATTGTATTTTCAGCAATGTGCTTTGCTGGCAATAGAGAGACAACTTCGGAGGTAATACCCTGGAATCTCTTCCTGTTATAGATGGCTGGAGCTCATAGATATAATGTGATTATTTCTTTCATTAAAGGAACTAAGTAATGTTATTAGATTTGGCTTTTTTTAGTGCATCAAATGGTTTATTTTACCAAGGCAGGAATTATTCTTTTCCAGAAATCCAGAGGTCATTTATTCCACAAAGCACCTTGCGTTTACAGAACAGAGAGACAGCAGCTTTAGCTGTATTTCTTGTGTCTGCTTCCTCATTGCCTGAGTGTGAAAACTTTATTGCTCATTATCTACTGGGCTGTGATGAAGTGACAGATGATTTATTGGGAGCCAAAAACTGTGTTTCAATGGTGAACATTTTTATCCTTTTGTGTTGCAGCCTGCCAACCCCTCTAACTGCTGAGGCAACAAATAAAGAAAACTCACTGCTGGAGGGCCCTGTGACTATCACTCATAAATGTCCACATTTCAGATCTCACTCTGTTTCTAATTTGATTCAATTCCCTTTTGTTGCTTAAAAATTCAATTTGTTTAATTGAGCTGTTTGACAGTAAAATCTGAATTCCATGCATTTTAACCATTCATATTAAATTTCCCTCCACATAGTACTTTTAGTAATGTGCTTTAAAAGAGGTCACTTTAATTTAAATTTGGTGACCTTACAAGCTTATAAAAAGATCTATATGTTATCCTTCTCAAACTGAAATTAAATTGAATAAATGTAAGATAATGTTACAGTAGATATTTCTGACTGAGGTTTTGGAGTCCTGCAGAAATGAAACCTGCACTAGGAAGCCTCAGTGCCCCTTCCAGCCTGTTTTCCACAAAAAACAACATTTGTGGATGAAACATCCTGTGATGGGTCAAATTAACCATTAAAATTCATGTACTGAAGTTGCAGGATTAGTTATGTTGTTGTGTGTCTTTGTTTAATAAGTTCCCTGACCCTAGCTTGGGTTATTTCTATTTATTTTTAGGGAGGGTTACATAGTTTTTGACATTTCAATGGCTGAGCATCTTTCCCTTTAGGACTAATAAGAAATATTGGAAGCGGCGCAAAGACCTTAAGATTTAGTAAACTTTAATCTGTAAAATTTAATAGCAATCTCCAAGTCATTATGAGTATATAGGATGCAGTCTGGCTTTACAAACACTTTTAAGCAGTGAGTTATGTTCCGAGAATGGCTTTGCTGTGTATCATTACGTCCAGGTAAATGCCAGGATGATGACATAATTGGTAGTTGGGAGTAAAATACAACCCCTGTAAAATGTTACTAAGGTAAACGGAGCGGGATTGTAATTCATTATACATAAACATGACTAGGAGTTATTTATCATTTTATGAAATGCAGAACAACCTGAGCTCGATGGGTTTGGCTGTTTCTTCATTACTTTCCGTGAAATTCTAACGCCACTCTTTTATTTCCCTTTAATGATTTCCCCCCCCTCCAACCCCACGTGAGGCTCCTTTGCACCGTCCTCCCTGATGTTACTTCTGATATACAAAGTCCTAAAAACTGGCCTCATTAGCAATGATATCCTGCCACTTTCAGACACTGACAAATTTATGACTTTGGATTAAAGGTCATATGGGCATTCCAGCCATTAAACCAGCCCCGTTCCACACTACCTGGAACTGGGAGGAAATCCATTTTTGCACACAGATGCCCGCTCTGTTATTTCCTGCTAAAGACATACAGTAATAGTTTGAAAGCAACAAAAGCCTATTTTGTACCTGTTCAGCTTGCAAGTGTGTTAGCCCTAGGCTACTGTTTAACTTTTAACCCTCTTGTTCACACAGCGTACATGCATAAAACTACAATGTACCACATAATGAAGCAAAGCTCCCAACATTTGTTTTAGACTGTTTGCTATAGGACACGCTTCTCTCCGGTCTTAAAATCGGTTTGGAAAACAAAACAACAAAAAGCCCCAACCTATCTCACTACGAAATGAGTGATTTTTTTGCCCACATTTAATAGCAGCCCTGCTATGCTCTCTGCGTATTAACAGGGCTTTCAAGTAAAAAAGAAATAATTCAGCACAAAATGATTTTTGAAGAAGAATTTCTTTTGCAATTCTTTTTCGGTGTCTGATTTTAAACCATTTTATCAAGCTTCCACTATATGTGCCAAACACTCTCTTGTCAGGTGTAGGATGAACTACAGTATAACTGTGAGATATTTCTTTCCCTCATAACAATCTTGAGCCATAGCCCGTGATGAATTATTTGTACCATCACAAGGAAATTCCCCCCTTCTGCACTTAAACCCAGCAAAATTACACACCAATTGTAGCAGAGAAAACATCTGATGTGACAGCTGTATAGCACATGGAGATCCATTGGGCCATTGGTTAATCAGCAGATTTTAATGGTGCTGGGAAATACGTGGTGTCCGGAATTAGAAATGCCTCTGTGCTCTTCACTAATAGGACAAATTTTCTACCTGTAGAGGAAGGATTCCTGCTGTTTAAATGCTTCAAATGTTTAAAATTAAAAGAAAAAAAAAAAAGGAAAGAAAAAAATAATGTGGAAAATCTGCCATAATTCAGAACACAAAAAGGAAATCCTGTGGATGAGTCAATTATATGGTTCCTAATGATGGTTGAGCCTGGAGGCCTTGAGCGAGGAGGGGAGGAAACAGGGGAAGATTAACTTGGTTAACCTTCTTCCATTTCCCTGTGCCAGGCAAGTACTTTGCTTACTGTATTCCCTCCTCTTTAACCCACTGTAGTTGGGGACAGCTTGAATTTCTACAAGTCTTCCACAAATTTAATGTTTGTTTGCTCTTTGTTTTTCACATCAATAATTAAAATGGTAAAAAAGCCCAACCCTGTGTTGGAAAGTGGGATTTAGGGGGTTGTGTTGTTTCTACCTGTCATCATTAATGTGTTTCATCAGATGCCCAGGAAAATTAGGCTCACAGTTTTCCTAGGCAGCTCATTATTAGGGATATATCCTAGAAATTAGAAATCCCCCCAAGATTAAAAGCAAAGTCTCAGAGGCCCCTGAAGACAGTGGTATCTTTAGCGAGCTAAAGGCCTGGCCAAGTGCAATAACGATAATGATAAATAACCATCATTTATTTTTATACATGCCCATATCATTTAGGACCTCATAGTGCTCCGCAATAAAATCAAAGAAACATTAACTTGAAGTAAACAAATGACAAAACCAACATCAGCAGATGGGCAAATCAACAACAAAAATAAACAAATCAGCAGGTCAGAGGCTCCATTGCAGGGATGAACAAATGGCTATGGAGCAGGGATTTGGGTGGAATATGCAAGAAAGACCAAATGAAGAGTGAAAGGCTGATTGTCCCCGATGTCCCAGTGTGCACAGCACCCTTGGACACCTTTGGATGCTGTTACAGTGCCATTAGTGGCTTCCTGTATTCCAATTAAAGCTTGTGTTCGCTGCATTGTCCTTTTGTTTTTCCCCCAATCCTGATGTTCCCCAAACACCTCCCGGACTCCTGGTCTGCCTGCACAGTTGGATGGAGACACCAGGAAATTTAGACTGAGATGGACTGTGGGAAGTTGCAAAAATCAGGACTTTGGATATGCCTTTTTTTTTTAAATCTGATTTGGAGATAATATAAAAGAAAAAGGAAAAACATATGAATTTTTTTGGACCTTGGTGTGGTGAACACGACTTCCACAGCCTCATGTATCAGGTCTGTGAAACTCTCCCAACATTATTCTCAACAAATTCATGGCCCATAGGTGAGCCATGGTGAGCGTAAGCATTTTTTGTCAAGCCAACAAGGATCTTATTGCTATATGGAAAATATTTACTGCTATTGCTGATGATTATTAATCGTAGGGTTGAACCTAAAACTTTATTTATCAAATAAATGCTTTCTGGAAAATTGTCTTCTCTGAAATTATGGAAAAAATCTTCATAACCCATTTAATGATAGAAATTAATGTTGATTCATTATTCTCACTATATGGAAGACAAAAAAGAGGGACTGTACAGACCTGTCATGCCAAGAGACATGAAACCCACTGACCTGTGATAGCAGAGGATTTTGAGCCAGACATAATCTTTTTCTTTTGTTATTGTTTCAAAGCTGTGAAGAGGCTGGAGAGGCAGGGAGGTACCTTCACCTAAGCCTTGTTTGGTCTTGAAACACTAAGAAGCAGGAATGCTCATGGAAGCACTGGAATTTGCTCCTCCTGACATCCATCCTTGTGGCCATTTGTGTTTAAGAACAACTCACTTTTGGAATGTGATGATCATCTGCTGAAGATTTAGCTAGAGAGGGCAAATAAGCATTTGATTTTCTTTAAAAAATACTACCTCAGCCTATATAAGGACAAATTTTAGGTGGGGTTTTGGATTTCTATATGCAGGGTCAATATTTCAAACTCATTCTGGATTGAGAGACACTTAAAATAAGACATATGTAATTAGAAGCTACTTAAAAACTAGGTTAAAAAATTAACTCTGCAACACAAAAGCATAATTTAAATTACCATCTTCAATTATTCCTTCCTTGCTGAAGATTTGTCCTTGCATTCTTGTGTTAACAAGCTTTTACATATCTGAGAAAAAAAATGAGAAAAAGCACCTGTATTTTGACAGTGAGATATCATGAGCCTGCTAAGCAATCTGTAGTTGCTTTATTTAGATTATCTACCATCACAAAAGTAAATAAGTGATGATCGTAAAACAGACAAATACAATACTCTTTAGTGCTCTGGAGTAGCCATAAAACCTGACTTGTCCCTAAGCTCATGACAGTAACTTTGCGACTTTGGACATTTGTAAGACTGAGTAACAGCTGTTGACAGACATGTTCCAGGTCACAGAACAAGACTGCATGATCAATAAGCTTGAGAGCAAACTTCAGGGCCAGAAATACAACTCCCAACATTGATATGACAAAAGATTCTGCAAGACATTCGGTGCAGTGAGGGCTTTGTGAGGAGGCACCACTAATGCTGTCCCACAAAGTCTGCAGGGCTGTGCAAAGGCAGGGGCACCTTCCACTAGCCCAGGTTGCTCCAAGCCCCACCCAGCCTGGCCTTGAACACTTCCAGGGGTGGGGCAGCCACAGCCTCTCTGGGCTACTCGTGCCAGGGCCTTACCACCCTCACAGGGAAGAATTTCTTCCTCACATCTAATCTAAACCTACCTTGTTTCAGCATTGAAAGCACGGAAACATGAAAGAACTAAAACAGTTTTGCTTGTGTTTGTAAGCTTTAGGTGTAGACAAGTGATCAAGAAGAAGAAAATATTTGGAAAAATATGAATGATGTCTTTGGACGTCCACATTTTGAATTTCTCAATCAGAATGTTTTGAATGATGCTTCGCAGCACTTCACAACCTGCTTCACTTGGCAACCATGTAGGTGGCACTAAAATTGGCATTGGCAGTGCCAGAGTTTCATAGTTTGCAGAGAGACACTTGAAGGAATGAACAGGCAGGTCCATCTGTTGATGGAATTTATGGGAATTGCTGTGAGAGTGAGCTCTCATTTCCCTCCACTGTACACTCCCTTTGCTTTGCTGAGTTTGTGGGCACAGGTGGCCCCTAAATCCACGCTTGAGGGAGCTTTGTGAGAGACAGTGAATAGCAAAAGGTGGAAATACTTTATTCCAATGATTTATCCTGAACATAGAGAGTGAGCTCAGTGTTAGATCTAACAGCACCATCACTATACATAACCTTATCAAGGTAAACACTGTGTACAAGAAGGTAACAGCTGAAAATTGGGAATTTACCTTGGGAAAAGCAGGACCCTGCCTGCAGGATGCTGCTACAGCACCCCTAGCCATGCAGCAGCTCCTAGGAGTGCTTCTGTTACAAGGGTTTATTTTCCATGTTGTGTAACTTGGCAAGAGCAATTCTCTCCACACTCAGATTTGGCATTCCTGATCTCAATCTGTATGGAAATGTCTGGTAGATTTAAAAAGAAAAAAAATGAAATTGTTCTGTTTCAAAATTGCAGAAAATAATAATTATAATAAAAATAAAAAGGAATAAAAGGCTGTTTTCTCTCTGCTTTTTAGTGCTCCTTGTCCTTCTCTCCTTGAGACCTAAATCTGCAGGAGCTTTGTACATGCAGAGCCTCTTCATGGTTTAAGCCTAACTGAAGCTTGGGTGTCCAATATTTAAACATTACTCAATATTAAAACAAGACGCAAATCTAGCTTTGACTTTACATTCAAGTTCTTGTACTTTCTTTGAGTTTGGGATGATCACACCTGAGGTCTTAGGTTAAATTCAACCTAATAAAAAGTGCTATGTTTTATTTTTAAATTGGGAAGGTGTTATATATGTTTAAGCTTCTTAGTACGGTGAGACTGTAAAAAAGACAAAATCCTTCCTGTTGCTTGATTTTAAAATAGAGTTTTTCTAAAAACCATACAGCATTTTAGGCTATGTTCTCGAAATAACTATTAAAATTGTGCCATCACTATTTTGCATGTAAAAGGTTGATTGCATTGAAATAGTTCAGATGTGCAAAACCAAATGCATGTGCCCCAAGGCCCATGTGAGCAGGTGACAATGCACAGCTCCCTGCTACCAACCACACTGCATTTCAGCTTTCCGAATGTCATTTTATCAGCAGAACGAACCTGTGAGCTCTGAAATCATCTTAAGCCCCAGACATTGTCAAGGCTTGTGCAGATGTTTAGTCATAAGCACCTTGAAGAAGTCTGTAGTTGTGTCATAGAATCATGGAATTGTTTAGACTGGAAAAGTCCTCTAAGACCATCAAGTCCAACCATTCCCCCAACACTGGCAAGGCAACCACTAACCCATGTCCCCAGGTGCCGCATCCACACGGCTTTTAAGTCCCTCCAGGGATGGGGACTCCACCACTGCCCTGGGCAGCTGTGCCAGGGCTGGACAGCACTTTGGGCAAAAAGCTTTCCCAATATCCAGTTTAACCCCCCTGTAGTGCAACTTACGGTCATTTCCCCTTGTCCTGTCCCTTGTTCCCTGGGAGCAGAGCCCGAACCCCTCCAGCTCCCCCCTCCTGTCAGGGAGTTGCAGAGAGTGAGAAGGTCCCCCCTGAGCCTCCTTTTCTCCAGGCTGAGTCCCCCCAGCTCCCTCAGCTGCTCCTGGTGCTCCAGACCCTTCCCCAGCTCTGTTCCTTTCCCTGGCCATGCTCCATCCCCTCAATGTCTCTCTGGTCTGAGGGTCCCAGAACTGCCCCCAGCACTGGAGGTGCCCCAGCAGTGCCAGCACAGGGACAGTCCCTGCCCTGGGCCTGTGACACACCATGGCTGGCACTGGGGCCATTGGACTCCTGCCTACCTGGGCACACCTGGGCTCATGTCCAGCTGCTGTCACCAGCACCCCCAGGGCTTTTTCCACCAGGCAGATTTCCATATCCTCTTCCCCCAGCCTGTAGTGCTGTAGGGGGGTGTTGCCACCCCAAGGCAGGACCCAGAACTAGGTCTTGTTGAACCTCATACAAATGCCTCGTTCCATGGATCCAGCACGTCCAGGTCCCTCTGTAGCACCTTTCTGCCCTTTCCAACACTCGCACCAAAACCAATTTCTGTATTTCCAAGGCATCCCCAGCAGTGCTACAAGTGGCACTGGTGACCACATGAATGTCCTCCCACAAGGACATTGTCCACCCACAAGGAGCATGTGTGAGCTGCAAAGACATGTCCCTGCCTGTCCCTGATAGTAGGGCTTGTGAAAAATGACTTTTGTGCTGGCCTGACCCCCCAAAAGGGGAAAAACCCTTTAGTTTCATTCTTTGCAATCCCTTTCCTCATTTGTGCCTTCCAAACAAGTGCTGTTGTCATAGAGTTTGGGAGAAGAAAATCCTGACTCATTATAAGGGTGAAGGTATTGCAGTGAAAACAGTTGTCAGTTAAAACCATATGAAGTCTTTGAAAACTCATGTAACTCTTGAAAGGGATTGAAATTATATAAACAGAGTGGCAAACTATTTACCACACACTTGCACAGCTCAGAGGTTCATAGAATCACAGAATATCCTGAGTTGGAAGGGACCCGCAAGGATCATCCAGTCCAACTCCTAGCCCTGCCCAGGACACCCCAAAAATCCCCCTCTGTCCCTGAGTGTGTTGTCCAAAAGCTCCTTGAGCTCTGGCAGCCTTGAGGCTGTGACTCTGCCCTGGGGAGCCTGTTCAGTGCCCAAACCACCCTCTGGGGGAAGAATCTTTTCCTGAGATCCAACCTAAACATCCCCTGACACAGGTTGTCCACCCCACTGATACTGTTCATATAATTTCATCATTAAAACATTTTTGGGTGCCTAAAAGCTTGAAATCATTTTTATTGTAAAGGTATCTTGGATAAGTTTGTAGTCTCCTTCCCAGGAAGTGCTCTGGGACTGTAGTTATTATCAAGGGATTATTTGCTCGGGGACAGAAAAATCAAGGTAAAAGAAAAAAGGTGTGGGGTTAATCTGGACGTGTTTTCCTCTGGAACAGGATTGCTCCCATGCTTACATGGCAAGGCAGGGATGCCTGGGGGATCAGGGCCACTGAGGCAGCATTGCCCTGTACCTGAGTCTCCCCAGGATCTGCCACCGCTCCTCTCCCTTCCCGCAGCTGCCTTTATGTCCCAGGCATAAATCCTCTTTACTTGGGCTTTGTGTCTGGGGGCCGGCAGCGGCGTTTGTTCCCAGACGAGGTGCAGTGCCGGGAAACCGTGGGCGGGGGAATACATTCATATCTGTATGTATTTATACAGGTATAAATGCATTAATATCAAATATATGCACCCCCCTAACCATGCGCAGACACTGAGGGAGATTTTAACTCCAAATTGTCAGGCTTTAATAGATTTAAATCAGGCTCTGAACGCTATTTTAACATATTTTTTGTGTGTGTTTAGTAACAACAGTCATCTTAAATTGTAGTGGCACATGGCCAGAGGGAAGAGAGGTGTTAATGAGACTCACTATAAATGGAAGGAGCTCGGGAGTGACAGTTTTCCGGAGCACTGTTGGCATCGGATCGAAGAGACAGGTGGTGGCACAGGGCTGACCGATCACCTCAGATAATGATGAAAGAGGAGTGACAGGGGTGAAAGATTCAAGGACCACTGAAGAATGGCGAGGGGGAAGGCAGGGGCCATCAGCCAGCCTCGACAGGCTCGGCCGGTTCCCCACGCGCCGCTCGCGCCGGTGAAATATGAGAGGGGCTGATAAGGGGGAAGCAGAGTATTATCGATATCAGATGTGGAAATGAGTGGACTTAGTAACCTATCCACCATTTGGAGTAAGTATTTACGGTTTCCATGACCAGAATCAATCAGGTTTGAAATTCATTCTTATTTGGCAGAGGAAATGTGCACTTAACCTTTACATTCGGGGTCTCCTGATGAATATTGACCTAGAAAAATATCCCAAAGGTGTTCGGTCCGACAAAAAGTTATTTAATAATTTGGTAAATGATTGCTGTGCCACGGGGACTAAATATTTAGATCAGAAATCCTAACTTTAGATGGGTGCCGGACCAAGGTGCAGATTATTGCTACACTGAGAGCCCTCCAACCTCTCATCAACCAGCCATAAATCAGGGGGATGGAAGAGTTCAGACAGAGCAAATTCTGGTGACAGCCACGTGATGGACTCACGGGGGAGAAAATGAAAATTCATTCCCTGACAACCTGCTACAGGCTGCAGGTATGGCAAGGGGGAGAAGCTAAATAGATCTGTATCAGCTGCGAGGATGGCAGACCCCCAGCATATGGAAATGCACCGGGAGGGAGGTGTAACCCGGAGCTGCACACAAAATGCTCAAACGTCAGAGTGGCTGAATCACCTGAGCAAAGATTATATAAAAATGTAAATTGCCTGCTCCTGACCCAATCACGTTTAAAAATGAAAGGACAAAGAGTGACAGGAAAGGTGCTATTATTACAGATTCAGGGTGATGCACAGTCACTGCTCAAATTCCTCTTCGGCAGCGGTTGGGAGGAAAGCTCAGGCACTGCGAATAATTTCCCTGCAACTGCCCTCTCCTATTTATACACCCGATCCGAAGGCTTTGGGGATGAAGGGAAACGATCCCGTGGATTTGAAGGGGCTTCTGAGCAGGATCCATGCAAATCTGCTCTATGCGGGGATTTCAGGACCCGATTTTTTTAATCTAACTCAACTTACTCCAGATTTCCAGTGTGCAGCTAAATATTAAATTCACTTTAAGAAAGATTATTTTATAAAGCTGTTCTTGCTTATGTGAGAGTAATGAAGTCAAAGATGAACAGGAATTGCTCTGAAAGGCACAGGCTGCTTGGCTTTACAAAAGATCTCACTAATGGGTTAGATCAAGTATTGCTATCCCTAAAATTAAATGCCAGTGTTTAAAACTCCATTTTTATAAGAAGAACTTGCTATTAATAATTTTTAAGGTTCTTGATTAAATAACTAAAAATGCATTATTATTGGGTTCATAATTACTTTAAAAATGTTCAGGTTTTGGTCATTTTCCCTGCATTATTATGGCACGGAGGCAAAATTTCACTCATATATTTGACTTAAATGACAGTCTTTTGGGATTTGCAACAGAAATTATAACTTCTGCTGCAATTTACATGTTAAGTTCTGTAACCCCGTGATAGTTCAACCATTTGTAAAAGAACAGTGGGTGGCCTACTGGTCTAATATTCAATGAATAATTTTATCTTACATCAGGCACGAGGTCCAGTTTAATGTTTCATTACATTAAAATTGCACCGGGTGACATAAACTTTGTAATTAAAAGAGCATAACTTTTCTGAAATGCTGTAGATGAGTCTTATGAAAAATCAGCATGTTTAATCACGCTGCTATAAAACGAGGCTGCTTTTGTGTGTACGAGGTGCTACCTGTTGATGTGTTTGTCGTCACTGTCTGTCTGCAGCACTTGGCAATTTAATTCCTTGATATTTTGCATCCAAGAAGTCACACTTTGTGGGTAAATAAGTAAAAATATGTGAAACAGAAAATGAGGTATCATGGCTGTGGAATGTTGCCTTCGTTAGTGGATGCACCTCAGTGTGGTTGGATATCTTGGACTGTGTTTGGCAGACCCAGTGAGGTGCCATGGCCTGGCTGTGCTCCGATGTGCCCCTGGCTAGCACAGCTGGAGAGGGTTGGGAATCCTGCCCTGCTCTGGAGCAGCGCAGCGGGAGAGCTGCCCCCGGGCCCCGGGGGTTTGGAGATGCACCGCATCCCCGGGAGCAACCCCCAGGGCACATCAATCTCCACTTCCAATTGCTTCCTAATGGCCCGGGAGCTTTCCAAAGGGAACCGCACCACAGAGCGGCTCTGCATTAGCTTTTATTTGTCTTTCTAGAGATTACCATTAGTCATCGTTAGTTATGAGGCAATGGCAGATATCAATTAGAAGATGAAGTATGACCCAAGTCACGTGCAGGTGGTAATGGAGCTGCTGCAGGATGAGCTCCTGGCAGTACTGTGGTGTGGTGGCTCCGTGGTCCTCCCTCTGCTGAGGGTATTTTGGGTGTGTTGAGCTCATGCAGCTGACTTTGGCTTTGTTTCATTTCACTTTCTTCTGTTTGTTCATTCGAGTGAGCTGAATCAATGAACTCATCCTTGAGCTGGAACATTTTTGTATTTAATAGACCAAAGTTACGACGTACCCATCCGAGCCTAGATTCTGGCACTA